GGTAACAAAAAAAAACGCGTTCACTGGGACAATCAATCTCTTGGAGTCTTTGAGTGAAAGAGGTTATTCAACTACACCGCTATGGACCGTGATGTTATTCCCGTCCCCCATGACTCCTCTGCCTGGTTCCTTTTAATGCCCATAACCTCTCCAAATGAACGCCGTATCATGAGCAAGCACGTTCGTCTTGCTGAAGTGAAAACTATCCTACACATCGGCCTTCCTGTTCCTGTCCTTTCAGACCGCATTGGCCGTCGAATGCAGATCGGGAGGCACCTGCCAACCATGGGCATAGGCAGAACGCTTGTATGCCTCAATGGCCTCCGCAACACCATAGTCACCTCCTCCTCCTCCAGTAAGTTGGCCTGCCCCCTGGCGCTCAAGTCTTGCCGGGAAGGGCTCGAGATTGCATATAGCCATGCTAACCTGGAGCAGAACGCCTTCCATACTGCTGGCAACACTCCAACCGCTGTTGGTCAGAAGCTGCATGCACATGGCACCGCCAGCCGTGACGTGACCGCCGCCTCTTTGCGAGAATGGCAAGAATCGAGGGCGAATGACGCGGACGAACGGAGGTGAGTGAGGGAACTGGCGACCAAATCGAATCTCGAGAACGATGCTGCTGACGCCTGCGCGCTCCATGTCTTGCGCAAGAGGCAAGGACTTTTCAAAGCTGTGCAGCTCAACAATCCACTGGAACATGTTCGTAATGTTGTCGAAGTCGATGTACCAGCCAAGCTGATGAAGAGGTGTTGTAGCCTGCACCTTCTGCAACTTGCTGAGCTCTTTGCCGAGGACCTTTCGTCCTGTGTCCGAAGCCCAGCTCGGGGCTGGGAGCTGAGGCAGTGTGTTCATGTCAAGTGTACCCGGCGTGAAGGGGGTCTTGTTTGGATCATTCTCTGGCTCATCGGTGTCCTCGCCATCGTCCTCTTTGCCCTTTGTAAGGTTGATGATCTTGTCAAAGTCATCTGGCTGGTCTTCACCCGAATCATCTACAAGGACAATCGGCTGAGACCGCGAGGACCCTGGAACAGTGGATTTCTGGCGCCACTTTGGCAGTGCTGCAGCTGGGATCTCCAACCGAATGTTGCCAAGCCCCACAGGCCGCCACATGGGATCTTGTGGGATGTATTCCGGCTCGGTCTCGGGTTTGTCTTCCTTCTTGACTGATTGGTTCCGTTGGATGATAAGATAGCGACATTGGATCCAATCGACTTCATCGACCACATAGTACGGGTTGATCGATTTGAACCTTTCCGGACGGTTGATGATTTCGCAGAGACTCATAGCGGCGTATAGCTTGAGTTCCGAACCCGCCCATGACGTCTGGTTGGCCTGTCTCGAGCAGTAGCTCAAGCTTGTTGGAAAGTCGCGGGCGAAGTACACTCCATGACCATAAGCGCGTCCATGAAGCATCTCTTTGAAGTTCAAACCTGTTCTGATGATGCTATGCCAATTTCCGAGAGGGCTACCGTGCCACGCAAACATCGTCGGGTATTTTCGACTCGCCTCCTTTTCAAGCTCCTGTTTGAAGCGATTCTCTTTCTCGGGTGATCCTTGGGCAAAGCGGAACTGCATCCAATCGTCACCCAGTCCGACGAAGCGTTCCTTCTGCCGTTCCTCGGTCGCTTTGATTCCGCCAATGTCGAGGTCCACCGGCTGGTCGATCTGTACAATGAGCGAGCGGTTGGAAGCCACAATCCATCGGAGTAAAGCCAGAGACGACTTAGACATCATTTCGTATTTAGCCAGAGACCAACCTCGGTGGCCAAGAAGAAATTCCCGCAGATATCTTATGGGGGGGATTGTCTGCACGAGAATCAACAATGCCTCCCTCTGATACGTTTCGTCCAGATCGTCGAGATCATGATCGTAGAGATACAGCTCAGCATCGCCCACCTCATCATCGATGATGTATTCGGAGTTGAACTGTGACTCAAAGGTCTGTTGAATGCCTACGTTTTGCGTTGGTTTGTCGGTTGAGATGAGACGATCAAACTTGAACGATTTGCCACAGTCGTTGCCGTCATCGTCACAGATGGTGTTGGCCGACTTAATGCGGCAATGGTGCATGTTTGTATCTTTCCCATCGCGGCCCCGAACATGTTTGACCAATATGACCATATCTCCCGGTCGCACTCCCTCCAGTCTCTGCGAGGAGCGCACGTTGAAGTTTCCGGCAGAAATTTGGGCCCAGACTAGGATTGCGGAGCCAACCATCTGGGACTGGATCGGGGGCTGGATCGGGGTCTGCGCAATCGCTGCTTGGAGTGCGTTCATCGTTGACATGGGATTTCCTGGTGCGTAACGTCCTGGCGTGATCACTTGGCTCGGGACGGGAACTTTGATAGACAGGCCCCGCGGCCATTCTCGAATCCGGCCGCTTGTCAAAGCAGCAGCGCAGAAGCTGACCAATAGATCAACGACATAGGGACGGTTGATGATGTCGTGCTCGATACTGGGACCCATACCTAAGGCCATGTACTGGAAGAGACAGAGAGGATCGTTACAGACATACGGCTTGAGAGCAGTAAATCCAGGCTCAGTCTTGCGGTGGCAAACTAGGCAGTACTGCGTGCTTTTGACAAAGTAACGCAGAGCGAACTGCATTGCAATGAGAGGCATGCTGAGTTCTTCGCGCGGCGATGGTCCGAAATCTTGGGGGTTTTGTCGTACGAAGTCCTTATTGAGTGACTTGCGAGCTGCCGTCGAGACTTGGGCTTCGTTGTCAGTCAGGCTGTCGGAAGCGGGGCCTGGATTCTGACCGGAACTGTTTTGTGTAGAGTTGACGACGCGGTAGTGCCCTTCTTTGGCCATCTCCTCCATCATCTCCTTTGCGCGATCCCAAGAGACACCGAAATCCAATCGAGTCTTCAGCAGCTTGGTAAACTCCTTGCTCAGGAAGATGTCCAGCGATTCAGAGATGGGCATTGAGCAAAACGGCGCATCGAGAGAGTTCTTGCTCGGCAGACCGTTTTCCTCTGAGCGCTTCTTGGCAGTGTCGAGATTCTTTTGGAATGGAATGAGAGCCGAGCTAAGAGTAGGCTTGAAGGAGGCGCACTTTCCCAATCGGAACTGCATAGATTCTGAGTGACCTGGCGGAAGCCTCAGGAAGGTTTCCATGCAAGGATAGCCTACATCGTACTTGTATAGTAACACGATGTAGTCTGAAGCGCTGATCTCCCAGGCCTCTAGCGTGTCCTCGCTAATTCCCAGATGTTCGACAAGGAGGGAAAGAGCGAAGATGCAGCTTTTCTCGTGCGTGGCAGCGTCGCTCAGTAGGGAGATCTTGAAGCCGGCGTCTTTGGCTTTCTGAAGATCGTCGATCAGGCGGCTAGGATATTTGGCTGAATGGCTGGGAGTGTTGGATGCTTGCAGAGCAGGAGCACCTCCGAAATCAAGACCAAAGTCAGTGCCGTCATATTCGTAATCCTCATCCTCGTCTTCATCCTCGTCGTAATGTTCGTCGTCTTCAATATCCGTCATTTCGATGTCTGTGTCTTCGTCGTCGTTCGCCGAGTCAAGACTTGCGCTCAGCTTCTTTGAGATCATCACCAGTGTGTTGAGTATGGTTTTGCCCTGAGTCAAGTTGGGAATGTCATCAAGGACCTTGGAAATCCCACTCGGGACAGATTCCTCCTTGGTGTATGCCACAAAGCCAAAGCCATGTGGGTAATCGTCCACGTTCAGGGCAGTGAGGCAGATGTTGAGGGGAGATGGCAGAGCATCATGGGAAAGAACGAAGGTGAGTTCACCATCGTCATCTCCCTTCCGAAGACCCGAGATATGCTTAACTTGCTCTTGGGAGGCCTGAGCCAAATCGCCATTGAACTTGTGGCGCGTCATGTTTAAGCGCGGCGATGAAGCAACATGAGTAAGCAAAAGTGATGTTTGGAAGTCGAGATATGCCGCTTGAATAAAATAAAGTGCCCAGCAGCGACGGCTTTCTCTGAGAAGAATGTCAGCTAAGTAATGGGCATACGTCGTAGAGTATAACCAGTGGTATGGAAGTCAGTGAAGTGCAGTCCTTCACATAATGTGATGGAAGTGTCAAATAAAAAAAAAACTTACGGCGAATCGCTTGGTCCAGACAGACCTGGGCAGGATGAGAGGTGGTGAGAAGGAAGGTTGACAGGAGGAAAAGGTAGAACATGGATGTGAGGTAGGTGAAGAGACCCGTGGACGGGAAAATGGTGGGGAGAAAACAAGGTAAGGTCGGCAGGCAGGTGTAAATGGGAAGGAAGACGGCGGGTGGTGACTGACCTCTCGCTCACTTAGTGCCTGCCAAGTAAGTAAAAATATGGGTTACCGCTCATACACCCTTGGGTTTTGTTCATATTACTAGAACGATCGTTAGTATTCCGATTATTCTTATTCTTCATGTATTCCTTTGATAATACATTCAAAGAAGTTTAAGAGGGGACAGCAATAAAGGTAGATGTAATGGGAATAGTGTCACTTTTGTAGTGACTGGCGGTATACTATTTTGTTACCTACCTCCCTATTTACCTGCCTCAGGTGAGAGAGATGACGAAGCAAATCAATGAAATGGCAGCTGCGCAAGTCTGAAGCTGATGCCTTTAGGGAGGAGCAGAGGGTGATGAATCGTGGAGATCGGAATAGAGGTACGGTAGGTACCTGGTACAATCCGATACCACTTATGAAAGGAAGGCAAATGGAGCATAGTAATAATGGAACGGGCGTTGTAGTAAACGGACTGTTGGCTGAGGCATCCGTCAGCCTGGGATTGAACGAGCCTACGATTCACCCGCAGTGACATCCATGAGTGGCATAGAGAAGTGGACCAAGGCAATCACGGTGCGGCCCCCATTCTTGGTCTTTCTAAGGTACCTGGGCCGCAAATCGTCAAATGTGGCGGCCTAAAGTCGGACATAAAGCGCCGTTGTGTCCCAATTTGTTGGTTGAGACCGTTGGGGTCCACGAGGAGTGCCTTGCAGGCTGTCGCCTGCTGCCTGCCCCCTGCTGCCAACCAACAGTCTGCAAGGCCGTACCAACCGCCGTATTCCTGTTCCAGAAAGCTGATTGGACATTTTCAGCTCTCCCTGATTTTCTGCTGTATGTTCCAGGCTTCCCAGGGTCGAGAAGTTGAGAGCTCTCCATGGGCATCTGATAAAGACTTGATACTTCCGGAGCAACAAAGGCTTTCTTATCGGACGGACGTTGCATCCGGACACGGCCCCACGCCGACCCACGCCGGCCTCGCCTGGCGGGATTCGGGACATCTTGAGCAGGGGAAAAAAGTATGAGAAGATCAGAACGCGTCATATTAAACGCAACTATGGCCCGTCGTACGACCAAACAAAGTCACATTTTTTTCTTGACCAGATCAGATTATCATTATCGTAAACTACACCACTCATTATCAAATCGTCTTCATCTGGAGCCTCTCCGACCCGTACGGGCTAATCTGTACCGGCTTGCCGCCCGTCCAGCTATAATACCCGACAACCTTCTTCACGGCTCCGCCCCAGCCGAGCTGTCTCCTCCGCCACGCCTTGGGGTTCGACCCGTCTCTGCCCTGTTGCACGACCATGGTAGGGTTCACCGCCGAGTCGGCCATGACCTCGACGTCCCCTCCGCCGGGCTCCGCCATGTCCATGTACATCTCCGTCGCCGGCCGGCGCCATCTCGACTGCGGAGGCATCGACATGAGAGATATCCCATTGCCGGCGGTGGCAGTATGCGTTTTGCTGGATGGGAATAAAGACTCGACTGTCCCCGCTGCGGCTACTTCGAAATACACTTCGAGGCAGCGAAGCTGATCTAGGTAGATGATGAGGAGGCAGAGGATGGCGGCGCCGATGGAGGAGACCCAGAAGACCCAGAACCGCGGCGCGTTGGGGGAGTACTCCTCGTTCATGGAGAGAATGGCGGAGACTACTGTGAATGGGAGGAGGATGCCTCCGAGGTATGTTACGCGGTCGAGGGCGCGCTGGTTCGCTTCTTTACCACCGTCTGCCGCCATGGTATCCGGGTACGGCTGGTTGTTGGTGCCTTGCATCGGCATATTGACATCCCGTGTCTGCAGCGCTGCCGTCGTGGGTTGTGTTCGGGGCCAGGAGGTCTGCGGCCTCGGCGTCGAACCGAGCTTTGAAATGGCCACGCGGCGCTGGAGACGCTCATGGAGCGACCGCCAGTCCGGATGTCGCATGCTGCCGCCGCCACCACCCAGGAGCGGCTGGCGCGCCTGGTCCTGCGCAAGATCGAGGTTCTGCTCGAGAGATTCCGTCGCCTGCCAGTAGAGTCCCCCGTCCTGTAGAGACCCGGGCTGTGCGCACGATGGGAGGGTCTCGAAGAAGTCGAGCCACTTGTCGTGGACGGCTTCGCAGAGAATTTCGGGAAGGGTTTGCCTCGTGACGTTGGAGTGACGAAAGGTGCGGAGGAGGCTGTCTTCGAGGCCTGGGAGCTCGTCGCCTTCGGCTATGAGGACGTTCCAGACTGAGGTGCCGTCCATTTGGGACTCGTCTATTTTGTTTTGCCATGAGCGGGTGACGGAGAGTGGTCTCCGCGCCTTTTGGACTTGTGATGATGGGTCGTTCCATATGGGTCGGTCTAGAAAGAGGACTGGAAGCGCAAGTCAGTATATGAGATATACCATGAGGACCGTTGAGAACATACCATCAGCTTTGCTGCTCATCCACAAGGAAGCATGACAGAACATGACTGCCTGCCCATCCCTCGACATCATATGAAATGGTGCCTCATCCATCACATCCACCAAGTCAGATTGCCTCGCCGACGGCTTATACCCAGGATCCGGGCCATAGTTCCCCCTCGTAGTCTTGACCAGCTCCGGATACGCAAACGAAATAAAAGTCGAACCCTCATCGCTCCCAGACGGCCGATGCCGCCGCCTGCCCGCATGCGCTTCGAGGAACCCAGAGTTTACGCCCAGGGAATCCCTCAACACCTGGACCAGATCCAGCGGCAGGCCCTGGACGATGGTGAGCCGCCTCCGGCCCACGGCTTCCCGCAAGAGGTCTTCGGCGTGGTTGAGGAGGCGCTGCTTGCACTTGTCGGTCTCCCAGTCGAGGACGTAGGCGGAGGAGCTCGACTCGGGGAACTTGCTCATCAAGGAAGACCGCCGGACGAGGAGGGCGGGCGTATTGGAGCGTTTTGTGTGTAGTTCGGCCGAGTCGCTGGCCGTGAGAGGCGGCGACTGCTCGAATGTCTTTGATCCAGCCATGGCTCCCTATTCAGTTTTGGGGTTGATGTAAGCCACTTTTTTTTTTACCGTTTCGCGTCGTCGGCTGGGTACTGTGCTGTATAAAACCTCCCCTTTTTCGACGAGAACCCTCTCGAACGACGCCGGAAAAGAAAGATCTACCCTCGAGTTATAACAAGTGAGATTGAACCATGGCCGCAAACCTCTCCTAGATTTGGTCTGTCAAGTGACCTGAGCTAGAGCATCTGGATTTAGAGCTTTCCTAACCCACCCCCTAAGCTTCTCTCACCTGTGCTCTAGTCCCATCTTAGTCCGACTTTGGGCCCAAAAGTGAGATGTGGTTTGGTGGTGTCGGCCGGCCATGGCAGCTCCGTGGCTGACTGTCGCGAAATGACGGGGTTGATTTTCGCGTGGTCTAGTTTAGTCCTGAAACCATCCGGGGGATATGTCGATGAGTAGGCTTGCCACGTCAAGCCATCCCTTTTACTTGGAGAATACGAACAATCGGGGGTTTGGAACGCGCTCATGATCAAGTTCGGCACACGGCACGCTTGGCAGAATTGACTCCTACGATAAATGCAAATCGGAATTCCAAAAGGGAACGCAAACTGGCCTTGATTGCATGTACGGCGGATTGGGCGGATGTGGTGAACTACCCTCCTTGAATCGTCTCTCACTTCCAGTTCATAGGGAACCTCTTGATGAAAGGTAGTAGACGGATCGGATGCTACAGCTCAGTGCCTACCATACAGTACCCAGCTTTCCCCCTGCTGAAGAGACATCAGAAGGATAATGCTTAGACGTTATGTAAGCCGCTCTAACAATAACCTCCTTTACGGCTCCAAAATGTCTTGAAAGATGGAGGTGTGGACGGACCTTGTAGAAAGATGACGGGAAGTCCGCGCGCAACCTTGGTGTAGGTGGGTGATGGCGCACGAGCCGCTTACAAGTTCCTCTCCATTAGGTAAGGTCCTCACCGAAGATGCACTTCATCTCACCGACATGGGACTGGGGCTACTTTTTTTCGGGGTAGGTTCCTGGGCACCTGGGCAAGGTAGATTGGCGGGGTTCAAGCCACAACGCGTCCCACCGCGACTCACCGAAACAACTTCCCACCGATAATCGACAAGAACGAAGAGTCTCTTCACAAAGTTAGCGGCGCCAGACTTACCCCGGCCCATTCTACGAAACAGAACAAGGAAAAAGAGACAGCTGCCACACAATGGAGCAGGGGCGAGACTCCACGCTGCTGCATTCGCAGCCGGAGTTGTCGCTGTTGGAGGCCGAGGTGCTGGAAGAGTACGAAAAGTTGGCGGATAACATGAAGAAGGTTCGTCTCGTCGCATAGCTCCCCCCTTACACCTGGACCCGGACCTTCTTCCTCTACCCCACTACCCTATCCTAAGACCTGCAAAGCTAATTCGTCCTTTTTTGGGAATCGCAGCTTGCTTCAACACTGGAAGAGCTGAGCGGCTCGCCGAGCACCGAGATCCTCGACGGCCTACGGGAACTGGAGCGCAAGACGAGCTTGGTGTTTACGCTCCTTAAGGCGAGCGTGTACAGCATAGTGCTGCAGCAGGAAATCGATTGGGGTGACCAGGCTGGGAGCCAGGAGGAGTAGAGGGAATGCGGAAACGGGAATCACGAAGGGTGCTACATCCAGATCGAGAGGGGGCATTTTGATATTCGTGGCGTTCTTGTCTGGATTGTAATGCGAGAGGAAGTGTGTACAGATGCATGACGAGACTACGATCAGAACAGATACCCCCCCCCCCCAAAAAAAAACACATGACGCCAACCACGTTACGACATTGAGATTTGCATTCACTATTCGCGGGGGTAAGCGAACCATTTGGAGGGGGTTCTCTAGAGATTTGCGCTTTTTTGTTTGAACATATACAGTGGTATACAGAAGTGGTATACAGATTAATATACAGATCCGCCGTAGTAGACCTTTCTCACATCGACCATCTTCTTTCCGCGACCAATGGCGATCTCCTCCGGATCGGGTTGGTTCATGAGGGCCTTGTAGACGGCGTTGACGGTGTTGTAGGGGTTCTTGGAGCGGGGAATCTTGGCTGCCAGATCGTGGATACCGGCGAGACGGGCCATTTCGAATATCCTGTGAGAGACGCGAAGTCCGAAACCTGAGTATGTATTAGTATAATTGTGTCAAAGAGATAATAGGTGTCGGGAACTAGCAGGGGTAGAACATACCTGGAGGACGGGCAAAGAGCTGCACAACAGTTCCCGAAATCTTGGTCTCAACGTTGCCGTAAATGGTGCGGTTCTCATATCTGCGGATAGGCTTCATGTTGCGAATGGCCAGAAGTGTGGCCGTCGCCGTCGCGATACCGGGGTCCGTCGACTTGGCCTCTCCCAATCCCAGTCTGCCGTCTCCGTTACCGGCTACGACGATGACGGAAGCACTACGGATCTTACCCAGACGAGTCTGGTTGGAAACGGATCGAACGACGACTCTCTTGGTCAGAATGGAGAGAATGTCGCTAATCTTCATGCCGGTAGCCTGCTTGAGCTTAATGAAGCGACCCGTGGGGTCGAGGCCGTCGTCCTCGACGTCTTCCGGGGGCTGGTAGAGTCCCTTGACACCCTCGACCTTGCCAAGCTCAGGAGCAAGCGCCGAGGTGCTTTTGCCGTCGGCTTCCTTCCACAAGGCTACGCGGGAGCGGAAAGGGTTCTCCTCGGTGCTGAGGGAAGCCTCCATCTCGTTGAAGAACTCCTTGTCAAGCTCCTTCAGCCAGTCGTCGGTTGCGATGGAAACCGCCCCGGTCTTTTTCTCTTTCTTCTTCCCAAGCACATCGGCGTCGTTGTCGACCAAGAACTTGCGACGCAACTCGGGGTTGATCTCAAGCTCGTGCAGCTCCTCCTCGGTGAAGTCGAGCTTCGCCGAGTTTGTCTGCGAGATCTTGCGCAGCGCCCTGGCAAAAGCCTTGCCCATGGTATCCTGCATCTGGCCGCCGACTCTGTCGGCCATCTTCTCAATGTAGTCGTCGATCCACGCTCTCCTCGGGAGCCACTTGTGCTCCACGGGCTTTGCAGGCGGTTGGGGTTTCATATCGATGATGGGCTGGACCGTCGAAAAGTCTTCGATGTAGGGCTGCGTGTAGGGATCCGTCCGTAACCGACCCTGGATCACCAAGTCTTTCGGGTCAATGGCCTCCTCGGCGGCCTGGAGAGCCTCCCATTGCTCGGGAGTGTACTTCTCCTTCAGAAACTCCTTTTGCTGTTCCGTGTACTCGGGGAAATTTTGTTTCGCATACTTTTCGATGGCATCGGGGGTCGTCAGACCCATCTTCTCGGCGGTGATGTTGTTGAATCGTGATCGCCTCCGACCTGACCGGCTAACGGAGCTGTGGAATAGACGGTAGGGAAGGGCGGCCGGTGCGCTCGAGGCGGAGGAGACGCATCTCGACAAGACACTCCGCGCCGGGCGTACCGAGTTCATCGCAGCAGAGAGGGGCGACGTCTCTGCGCCAATTCGTTGCCGGCAGCAAAGGGGTAGTATAATGAGGTCGTCGAGGAGTGGATGCAAGTCGCGTGATGGGCTCTTTGGTCTTGAGCTCAGGGTCGCGCCAGCTGGTCGACAATTTTTTTTGGAAAGCTCAATTGGATCGGCTTGCAGTCAATTGCCTGGGACGGATCCAGGCCACATCATTGGCCAACAAGCCCGGTCTCCTCCCGCCCTTGGCCCGTGCGACTACGGGCATGACGGAGCGGAGATGTTCCTCTAGTCACATGACTAGATCGAGGTCAACGATGTGTGGTTGGTGTCACACCGAAAGCTCTCACCTCACCGAAACTTGGCTAAAGTCTAGGGGCTACCTAGCTTACTTAATCCCAGAATGCATGCTTCTATGTATTAGGCTTATGACAGTGAGAGCCTATCTCGAGGTACGGATGACTTGGACGAGAGGAGGCTCGTGTCATTGTATTCAGTATCATTTGAAGATATCAAGAAGCCAAACCCTACCCGGTTCCGACCAGAAAGAACGCAATGGCCTTCTTTGATGTCGTTGCCAGGCTCAACAAGAACATGGCCAATCCAATGTCTACTTGCAACAGAACGTCTTTCCTGTGAAGAAGCCCAGGACCCCTTTTTAGTGCCGAAGTAACTGCTGCAGCTCGTCCCTGCGCAGCCAATCACCTGCAGCAGACATCAGTCGACTTTCTGCCGCAGGCCTGAAACGCGCATCGATGCCGCCCCTCCCCTGGCAGCGCCCTCCCTCACACAATTCAACCACCACGATGCGGCCATGTCGCGTCCTGGTCTCACACCCCCAAGGCGGTCTAGCCTGCGAAAAGGGCACCATACCATGGTGGCATGGCCACCGTGGGGCCACCTCCTCGCCCTTGAAGCGCTCCCAAATGTGACGTCTCCCGTTTCGAGAAGCCGAGCGGATCATTTTTCCTTACATCTTGGCCCCTACTAACCCTCCTATCCTTTCCTCTCTTCTCTGGTCTGCTTTCGCATCTCGTGTTTCCTGCTGTCGAACAAAACAACCTTCTAATCCGGTCCCCCAACAATACGTACATTTTTTTGTTCCCTTGTGACTGGCGCACTTGAGACTCAGACCTTCATTTTTTTACTTTCCTGTACACACCTTTAATTCCGACCACCACAGTCCATACCGCCCGTCGCAGGTGTCCGAGCATACCTCACATCTCTTCAACCCGCTGCCGAAGTTCATCGACCGGTAAAGCGTAAGCCAGTCCACGATTCTGGGAACCATCGCGCCGACTCCGTACCCGAATAACGATCAACACCGAGGAATTCAAGACCGCAATCATGGGTCAATTCGACTGGTTCCGATCCATTGGCGCGACCCCCGAGGCCGTCGCAGTTCTGAACGACCAGCCCATTCTCTTCACTATCCTTCTGATTGTCCTCGTCGCCGTCACCCTCCAGGGAGTACTTCTTTGGTACATCCACTTTGCGACATTGAAGCCCGAACAGAAGAAGAAGAAGGAGCCGAAGAAGGGAGGCAAGGGAGGAAAGAAATAAGAGGGATTGCGGCCTGGAGGGTACGCACTTTTTTCGGAAGATTCGTTGCGAAGACAGGACCTGGGACCTGTGTGAAGTGGTGGATTACCAACGCCGTTACGTCGCTGTAGGAGACAAAATGCATGCCCGGGCGCCAGGAGAGACATCGCCGAGTCGGACTCTTCTCAGCTGCAATTATGGGGCGAGAGGTTGGATAATGAATTGTGTTAGGGCTCGAGAACTGAGTCGGTTTTATGGCCGCGCCTGAGCGGCAGATACCACAGTTTGTGATGCTCGAATGTCACAGGCTGCGTTCGACATCCATTTCTTGCAATATATCACTTGAAACTCCGTTTCTATGACCTCGGTGTAGACATTGGCGATATATCAGCCTACAGGCTACCAGTAAGTTTCCAAAGGTTGATTTACTCGATTTGGTTGTCTTCGTCAAGGTCAATTTCGCTTCCGGAGAAGACCTCATTTGGCCACACGTGATCCTGGGGTATGGTTTCCCAACGGCCGAACTCAGGTTCTCCGTATATCTCATCACCATCCGGTTGGCGGTCATTGCTGGTTGTTTGGAACGATAGCTCCGAGAGCGGCCCCTTGTCCTCGTCACTTCGCCAATCGCTGTAGGATACAAGGGATGTCGACCTTAGCCTTGGGGGGTCATCGGCATCAAACCCCGCTCCGAAATCGTTCTCGTCCTCCATATTAAGACCGGAATTTGACCAGTCGCTGTGACTTCCAGGAGTGCGCCTGACTAGTTCTCGCGTTGAATGAAGAGGTGGCAGTGACGCGTCTGCCAAGTCGAAAGCCCAACCCGGCCTATGCGCCTCTATGTCTGCCTCGTTATTTGGGTCAGAAGGCCCTCCGAAACATGAGAGTGGTAGCGGTGAGCATAGCGAGCCAAAAGCTTCTAGATTGACGTTGTAGTTCGAAATGTCTTCTGGGTAGCCGCCCTCGTCGTCGCATTCCTCTTGCTCGTCTTCAAGCTCGCTCCGGTCCGCAAGGAACTTCATAGTCAGGGGTGAAGAAGACAAAAACGAATTCTCGTCAACTGTCCTTGAAGGAGCTATGTTCTGGCCAAAATCTGTATCGACATCTGACAAAGTCTCCAGGATGTTGCGATGTTGGTATGCTTGAAGCTCATCGTTGGTCGCAAGGTCAAGTTCATCACGGAGTGAGGCTTCGTCCTCTGATCTAGCTCCATAAGAAGCCATGGAATCAAAGCTCAGGTCTCTCGAGGTCTCATCTGGATGTGTCGCTAATTCTCGGGGTTGTTGCTGTGCGAATTTGGCCTCTTCAAAGGGGGGTATTTGGCCACGCATGAGCCTCCAAATCCGGTGCCTATAGCCATCGACCGCGCCATTCTGAGCTAACTCGTGGAGTTCGTATAAAGGGATCCTCTCCGAGACAGAATCATGGTCTCGTGGTCGATGAGACTCAATGTGATCAAGGTCTTGGAACACAGAGGACAATGCTGGTAGAAGGCGAGACCGAGAAGTCAAGGACTGTGTTTGATTAATTTTTGCATCGGTAGAAGAAGTGGTCAAGAAGGCAACTCACCGAAAGATAGCCTATATTGAAAACCTCGGGTGCGAGGCAGATAAGTGTTGGTGTTCCCGTTGTTGTTAACAATCTGATACTGTCAACGGCCTTGTGCCCGACGACTAATGTTTCAAGGCCGGCTTCCACAAGTCGGCCTGTGGAATAAGCGACCTCTCCATCCTGAACGGTCTGCTTGTTGGACGCAGTGGCAGCATCGCAATGTATAAGACAGACGCCTGAGTCTTGGCTGTCAAAAGGGTCGTCGATGTCGTCTTGTGGACCCTATCCCGCAGACGAGACATCTAAGCCCAAGTCACTTTCTGGGCCAGAGAGACCATGGCTACCAGTCATTGACAACCTCCTTTGAGAGTTCACTATCACAGAGCCTTCGGAGGTGGATGGTTTCCGACGAAAGGAGAACGAACAGGTTAGATTTTGCATAGTGATGACCGTAGTGTCAGAAGGTAGCGTTGGGTATAACACAGATCCGGCATGCTCAATTTTGAAGGATAAATGCCCATGGCTGAACGGACTCTCCACATCGTACACTATTTCGATTCCTAGTTGGGCCCAAATCTGTAACTCGTTAGCAAGTGCCGGATGTGATGTCGTCGATGATGATGCTTGCCGGGCAGCTGATTATGTTCGCGGCAATAGTGTCTATAAAAACCGTTTGGTCTTCTGCATTGTCTTCCTCTTGGGCAACCGAGACCAGAAATCGACAAGTCTGGGCTTTGAGGACAAATAACTCTCCTGCTTGAATGCCATTGAGCAGCTCATCGGCAGTCGAGAATAACACTTGGTCTCTTGATGAGCGGAAGGAAATAGTGCTCGCGATGTCAAGGAAGGAACTAGTCGTAGGGTCAAATAGAACAACTGGGTCAAGCGACAATGCGACTGTGTTCATGATTTGCGGTGAAATTGGACCTCATCGTCAGAGAGGAGCCCTGTGTTTCGACAATTTAAAAAAAGATGGATTCTGTCGAGGAACGAGTGTCGTTGAAGTCCAAGGTGCTACTAAGGTACCTTGAAGCATTTCCTGAAGAAGGAAAGGTTGTTCATCCCGCCTGGGAAGGCACGAGGTACACGCCGGCGAATCTCTTAGGGGTGATACCTCTGAGGAAGACCGGCAGGTGCCATCACTTTTCACATGGCAACAACGACACGTCCTGAGTGGGGGCAGTCAGATCCACAGTCCTGGCGTCATCATTGCTGCACTGCGGGTACGATGTACATGTATGAATTCATAGCAGTGAAGCCAGCCGGAGATGTCACCGTTCTCGAAACGTAAGTTGAAATCTGGATATCTCACATGGGTGAGGTCGAAATCTTGGGCTAGATGCTTGGCCGGAAATACCGGCCCGAACGGTTGTTGAAGGACACAACTTTAGGAGAGCTCGAGATGCGAACCGTTGGGTTGCCGCTACCTTATGCTGGTCCCCCACATGCCTAGCGTTGTCCGGCTGGTAACATGCAGCCTATCAGCGATGCCGACGATAAGCTACCGACCCACGCGGGTGGTTGAAAGAGCGCTGCGCTGGAAACAGATGCGGATTATTACCTAGCCATCAGCATGGAACTCGAGACTTGCTGTCCAGGTCTTATCAAGATGGCCAATCGCTGGCGGCGGCTACTCTCTAGACCGGCGGTTGGTTTGTTGTACACTGTACTACTTTTAAGCGAGCTGAACAAGAAAATAAAATGAAAAAATTTAGCAACTGGTTTACAACTCTGCATCTCCGCTACATTTGTGATAAGGCAGTGACAGCCTCCAGGTGTTGGTTGACCCCACATGATGTGCTGAGACCCTAGTCGTGCTGTGTCATCCGCGGCAGGGTCATATCCGGTTCTCTGGGCAAGTTCTAGCACGCCGTTGCTACCACCAACTCTCTGTATGACGCAGGCACCACTTTACACTTCACAACCTCTCACTAGGATTTGCCTTACTCAACCAAGCCGGGCCATTTTCCGTAACACCAAGAAAAGTCACTGACAACATTGACTGTGAAACCTCATTGCGTATACCGAATTCCCAGCCAGCTTCCATCCTATCGTGATTCCAACTGTTGAGCGCGTCATTGTCGGTGTACATCTTCCACGCGACTGCCGCCACAAACACCATAACAACTCCGTCCATTCACGACGGACAAGCCCAGGAAAAAAAACTAACGACACCACCTCAGATTGCCTTGGCCGCAGCCCACAGGACGACTCGTTGCTCACCCTGGCGCAAGGAAAGAGCTAGGATCTGCGTTTGTGGCCCTGCACCACGACACAACCAGGACGGCATCTGACTATATCCACCCACACGTCTCGTCCACGCCCGGGGCTAATTCTCCCCTCACGCCTCTCCAACCACACACCTTTACTCAACCCGCACTGCGCGGAACTGCGTTCTTGGACGCCCGCCCGCCTTTGAGCATGCCTCTTTTCGATCTCGGCTCTCTGTTCCTCGACCACGTTGTTTTCATCACGAACCTCGTCTACATGAACATCGCCCTCTCCAATGCTGAGCCCAGCCTACTCTTCCCTCTTTACGTTGTGTCGAAGCTACTGGCTCGAGGACCTGAAGATTGGGATTCTCCCACCGCAAAATGGCCCCCACCCATGAAATGGTAGCCAACTGCGGCTACCAGACCCCGGATGAGCACAGCAACCGCCCCTCGTACTTTGCTACTCCGAACGAATCTCCTTTGGCATCATTGCCCTTACCTAGGTCTCCTTTGAGACGCCCCCCCTTTGTTCCTCATTCCTCCTATGGACCGGCCTTAGAAACGGAGGATGGCATGGCGATGCCACGGGCCGAGCGACAGCCAGAGTCGAATGAGTCTAGTCCAAACAACGCAAAAGCTACGTTAGAGAAGCATTCTAGCTTGGGCAAAGTAGGAATTCGAGATCGGATCGCCTGTCATACCTGGACTTGGTTCACCATGGTAATACACCCGCTCATCCAAACAATATTGGTGCTAACGATTGATAGACAATGGTAGGTAATATGTAACAAACCATAATCAAAAGATACTGACTCGCAGTAGGCTACCGGAGGAATGGCGAATGTGATACACTCTCGTCAGTAACATGAATCCTACCTTTCGGCGCATATGCTGACTTGGGACAGTTCCCTACCAAGCTACCTGGCTCAATGGCATAGCCGTAGCTTTCTTCCTTCTCAACGTCATCTTCTTCATCATGAACTGTGCCCTTGCCAGTATTCGATTCAAATCTAGACCAGGGGCTCTCACCCATTCATTTACAGACCAGACGGAATCGCTCTTCATTCCTTCAGCTGTTGTTTCGTAAGCTCCCTGACCGGTCCTACTTGGGCATCAACTGAACAACTATAGCTTCGCCATCATATCGATCAACATATGCCAGTTCGGTGTGCCGCATGTAGGGCCTTGGCTCCTTAGAATCATGCAGATTCTGTTCTGGTTCTACATAGCTTTGAGTGTGGTTGCGAGTGCCACTATTTACCTGATTCTTTGGTCGACATTGTGAGCTTCTTCTCAGCCTAGGAGAGTAGTTTCGGTCTGGTTAACGCTTATTAGGATCTTTCCCATTCATACCATGACTCCCACCTGGGTCTTTCCGGCCTATCCTCTGCTTCTCACGGCACCTTTCGCAAGCAACCTTATCCAAGCCGCTGTGCAAACAAATCAGCAGGTCGTTACTCTCAACAGGACTGCCATTGCACTCTGTGCAGTCGCTACGCAAGGTGCGGGCTGCTTGATTGCCTTCATGATCTCTGCTGCGTTTATCTATCGGTTGATGACGCAGAAATTACCGCGGGATTTCCAACGCCCTGGTGTGGTGCGTTATCCTTGATGATACAACTTTGAAAGATTGATGCTGACCAAATCAGTTCATCTCTATCGGACCATTTGCTTTCACGGTTGGAGGATTAGGTAGCGTCTCCCCTCCGATACAGTTGAAGGCCCGACTAATTGTTACAGTTCAACTCGGTAATTCCGCAGACAAAATTCTGCCCAGCAATTTCCTGGGCACCGACCTGGCCGTGCCCATCATCAAAGTCATGTCTGTCTTGATTGGGCTATGGCTTTGGGGTTTGAGCATGTGGTTCTTCATCGTTTCTGTAGGATCGCTTTGGAAGTATGTGCGGCCAGAGAGCAAGATGCCTTTCCAAATGACATGGTGGTCATTTGTCTTCCCGAATACTGCACTTGTCACAGCCACGACCGCGCTTGGCAAAGCCTTGCAGAATAACGGATTGCAGATATTCGGATGCGTCTTCGCCGCGTGTCTGATAGTCATCTGGTTTATTGTATTTGTAACGATGATTCGATGTTTGTACAAGCGGGAGCTCTTATGGCCAAAAGATACCCAATAGTGAACAATTTTAGAGGTTTACTTCTGCAACGGAGCTTCTTAAGAAGTACGAGAAACCTTGATCAAACCATGAACTCTCGCGATATCATCCGTTTCAATTGTTGATGCATCGTAACACGTGAAATTCTGTCGTAAATCGGAGTCAGACATTACCGTGGGCTGAAGTTGAAGGTACCGCCAATTCTCTGTCAAGGGAGAGCGGCAGCGGTTGAAAGTGGGGCTGGCCGCGCCCAACCTCTCACCACTAAACTCAGTGCATGGATTCATCCATTTAGATGAGACCTGTCCTTAGCGAGTCGAAATCGCGAAGCAATACCCCCCAATATCTCATCTCTTTGACTCCCGGCATCAAGCTTCCACTGATAATATGTCATGGGATTCTCAATCGGCGTTACATCGCCGACAGAGCAGCAATGCCGGCGCCCCCAAAACGCTCCCTATCCACACTCGCGAACAGTCGGAAGCAACAATCCAGCCCAAATCAAGCCATGTGGCAGACGACTTTCTACAGAGCTTTTTGGACCCTGCGTTTGACCCAGCAGCGTACCTGAATGCTACTTTACCACCGCTTCAACATGGTAGCCACCACTCATCACGAAGCAACGGCAACGGCCAGGCCGTCCCGCTGGCCGAGCTGTCCAATGAGGCGCAAGCGCTGCTGTCCCAGCTCAACATCCACACGACGAGGCTTTCCGGCACGTTGACCCAGTTGACGGACGACATCCTCCGAAGCGGCAGCCGACTCGCCTATGAAGTCGAGCTTCTCCGAGGTGAGACTCTGAGTCTTGCTGAGACGATGAATGAGACGCTGCAGGAGGACATCAAGAAGTTCGCGCCGAGCGGTGTGGACCAGGAGGCGAAGGAGGCGTCACCCAACGCTGCGGATGGGCAAGAAAGGAGAGAATCCGTGGGCGCCAGCAAGACCGGCGACGACGAGGCCACGGGCACGGAGGGCAAAGCGGAAACTTCAGAACCGCCGTACATCAACCAACTGCGGACGTTGACGGTGGTCCGCTCCCGCCTCGACACCGTCATCAAGACCTTTGGCGACGCCATGGAATTCGTCTTCCCGCCGTCGGAGCTATCGGTCAGCTCGTCCTTCCTCTCCGTCTCGGCGCCCGATCCCGGCGCGGAGCAGCACAGCACGGAGGAGAAGGGCCAGCAGGTGCTGCAGGGTCTGCGGGACGAGATCTCGCAGCTGCTGACCAAGTCGGAGGATCCCGTCAAGGGCATCGAGAAAGCGGCGCAGCGGATCGAGGAGCTCAAGGAGCTCAACAAGGTGTGGAAGGGCACGGCGGAGGAGAAGGGCAGGACAAAGTTCATTGAGAGCCTGGCTAAGATGGTGGAGGACCGGCATCGGGATCTCATGAGGGAGGATGACCAGGCGAGCAGGAGAGATGGGAATGAAGGGCGGGCGAGGAAGGGGAGTGTTCATGCTGATGCCGCGGAGACCAAGACGTATCTTGGAGGATACGGCTTGATGAGCCAGCTTCAGAAGCTCAGGAATGGTTTATAAATATTATGATCGATCAGACTGAGCATATTCGAGGAGCTTTACATGCAAGCGGTGATGGTGCACTGGAGTCTGAGCTTCTGGGTGGCAGTGAGTGTGAGTCTTCATAAGATAGAGCGCCAAGTATCCGTACGGATACACATAACCTCAATAGCATGAAGATAGAGGAAGACAAGATTACCAGTGAGAGGTAGAAACCTGTTGTTATTTAATATCTCACGTTATCTCGCAATTGTTGACTGCAAGTGTATTCCTTGGTATTGCCGTCACTATCGCTCATGAGAGTGTTCGTCTCATAAGCCTTCCAGTTGAGGTTGTACCTTGCTGGAGACCGCAACCTGAAAGTCTAGGGGGGTTCGGCCTAAAATCGGCATGCGCTGAGTTGCAGGCCACCTCTGCTGTTTTTTTCATCCCTTCCGCACAGCGCACACTAACTGCCCTGGGCCCTGCGGAAGTCATCGGGTGACCCCCGTCCAATAAGAAAAATTCACCCCTCCAGCGGTCAGGTACAGAACTTGGAGGCGCATGCGGTCACTTAGCGGAAAGGCTGACAAGGCAAGCACACACTGCACAGGACCATCTCGTTCCGCAGCGCCCTCTCACCTTTATCCGATTCTACGATCTCCCACACAAACACCCAAGCAAGAGCTACCGCTACGAATGGGCGGCTGAACGGTATCCTCCCTATTCGAGAGTCGTGAATGAGAGGTATATTCTCTATCGAATCAACTCCCGAAGCTTTTCCCTTCAAACTCCCCTTCTAGCGAACTTGGTTTTGCTTGAGCTCCGGTTTGCAACGGTTACCCTCTATACACCCAGACCGGATCATTCTCCTCAACTTCAACAACGCTCCTCACCTCGACCAAAGGAATTGATTACACCGTCAAACGACCTATACACGAAAATATCCGTCCACTATACAATGGCAGCCAACGAAGCAGCCATCCCCAATTTGGGGGGTGCTTCCGCTCAACCAAAGGCCGGCCGAGCCTCTCCGGCGCCCCAATCGAAGCGCGACCGCAAGCGCCAGGCACTTGTCGACAAGATCGCCAACCTGCAAGAGAAATTCAGTCGGGATCGTGACCTTGGTTACCGCGATCAGCTTCAAAAGGTCCAGGTCGACACCAACCTCGTCCAGCGCATCGACCCCTACGCCGACGATGTCCTGAATGTCATTGCCAGCCTGCGACAGGAACATGAGGAGACCCAGGGACAGGAGGCGCTGTCCGACAGCAACCGCACCCTGCTGCAGATGGCCGGCCCCAATTTCGAGGACTTTGTCCAGGGAATTGAGGATCTTGTCGAGTACAGGGACTTTCATTTGCTTCAACACATGGTAAGTCGGTGTTGAGTTTTCCTTGTCGTCATGTTTGCGAAGCTAACAAACCCAACAACAGCACGAGCATGAGCGTCGCCTTCACCAGTACAAAAACGAATACCTCTACAAGGTCGAGACTGCCAAGCGCGAGCACCAGGCCCTTTCTTCAACACTTCGCGATAGGCTCGTTAATACCCTGCTGTCGAGAAAGTACCGCTTGAATAAGGAGAAGGAAGCCTTGGAGATTTCAGATTCTTCGGCGTTGCTGCTCCACCCCAACCAGTTCAGCATCACCAATCCGGCGAGCCCCGGTGGCACACACGGAAAGCGCGCGACGAGGTTACGCAAGGACGCTGAAGAGCTTGCCAGCTATGCGGACAGCAAGAAGCGCAAGAGGCACCCTGGCGAAGATGACGGCTCCCCCGTTCCGTCCCGACGAGCGCTCGACCCCAACAACACAACGCCTCTGTGGCAGAACGAGAAGCTTCGAGTCGCCGCGAAACAAAATGGCCCAGCCTACAGCATCGATAAGCTCTTCACCGAGAAGGAGCTCAGCATGGCATACAACGCTGCAGCTGTTGCTTCCCACAAGCACATCCTCAGACACAAGCCCTACGCGAACGGGGGCTCATCTCCAGGCAGCGACTCCGGCAACGGTGACGAAAATGGCGAACATGATAGCGAAGTACTCTCTGCCCCAACAATGGAGCGCACCAGCTCCCACGCCACTAGAAGCACGAGGGCCGGCATCAACCAGAACCTGATCGACGCCGTCGAGGGAGCCAATGGCTTGGAATTGCCCAAGTACCTCGAGATCATGCAGCCACATGAGCCTGCCAAACTGCCGTCGGTTTCTGTGACCAACTACTTCAAGCCGGTCAGAGGCAATACTGACGGCAACCTGCCGCAACCGCTGTCACACGAGGAGATCAACTCCGATATAATGGTCATGGACATGTTCAAGAAGTACGACTACAACCACAAGCCTGGCGACTCAATCGACCATCCCAATGGCAGCAGAAGGATCTTGGAGGCTTCTATCACGCCTTACACCATGACCCCATACACGGGTTTCAAGCCAGGCCCCCGACCGGATCCGACAAAACTTCGTGAGGATTTGATGCCGATCGAGAGCAGCATTAGAGATGAGGCTCCTCCGTCGTCCCTCACGGCCATTGCCGCAGTCCCTATGAGCCGTACCAGCAGCGCAACCGGCGGCGCAGCGATGAGTCGACAAGGAAGTGCCCGCGGCAAGGGTCGTAAGAACCAGAACCAGTGATGACGTACGAGCAGTTGAATGGTGTTTCGGCGTTTGGGAATCAAAATGGTTGTGATCCAGGCAAGGATCTTTGGCAGGAGTGTATTCGAACGACTTTTGGGGGCACCAATCAACCCCGTTGACTGCGGTCAAACTCCACAGCATCGAGCAAGCTTATATCTCTTTTCTTTTTTTCCTTTTCATGATTGAGGGGTGCATCTAGTGGACAATACATCGAATCCACAGCAAAGGTTGGCATGTCTGATATGACAGAGGGGTGGTGCTACAACGGATAGACAATAGTCTAGTCCGGATTTAGAGGGGTGACATGGCATTGATACCCCGATGCTCATAGTTCAAAATATTCATATTATCATTGACTCATAAGTATACCTCATATCAGCTCCAGATGCGTGTATCTAAGGACCAAACACCAACGCCCGTACTTCGATGCTCTCGCGGCCCACAGCATCGGCCCTCGTCCTCGGGTCTTCGAACGCAGTGTGGGCTACGCGACCCCCCTCAACACCAGTGCCGTCCCGGAGACCCTCGCTGTCGAAGCACTCGAGCAACAGCCGCTCGTCTCCCGTCATGCCGCTCAGGTAATACCACTTTTGCCCCGGGTTGAACTTGATACCTGCCGTCTCACCAGTGTAGCCCATGGTATACCGGTGCTCGATGGGCACGATATCCTCGTCTGCCAGCGTTGACGACGAAGCGAAGCCTAGCGGGAACGACTCGACGGGCGTCTTGTTGAGCGGGCGCCAGACGTTGATGATGCGGTACCGGCCCGCGAGGAGTTTATCGGCTTCTTCCTGGGGCAGGTGCTTCTTCACGCGCTGAATTACCGAGGCCGGGGTTTGGTCGATGTGGACGCGGGTGACTGGGTTCCGGAGGGCTTTTGGGTCTGCGCGGCGGATGGTGTGGTCGAAGAATAAAACGCGGTTGCTTCCCGTGACGTGTTCTAGTAGCAGCTTCTCGAGTTCCGGGTAGTACTTTTCCTTGACGGATTCGTCGTCTGTGAAGTTTTCTTCGGCGGAGGGCGGGAGGTTGCGGATTACGGCGAAGGCGTCGCGGTCTAGGGTGAAGTCTGATTCACGGCCGCGGATGTCGTTGAGGAGGGTCTCTGTTGGGGCATCGCCGTAGTTCCTGGTGGGAGGGCCATCTGGGTTGATGAGGTTGTAGGGGGAGGAGGAGTCGGGGGGTGCGGCGAAGAAGTTTAGGGTTGCGCGGACTTGGCCGCGGGGGACTCTGTCGATGGCCATTGGAAGGTGACCTGAGGTTTTGGGCTGCGGTGATTGTAGTAAGATGTGTTGGTATCTAGAGGTTTATGCTGAGGGTGTAAATGAGTTTGTTCGCTTTGGATTTCACTTCGACAATGGTGATGAGATGGTGTTAGTGAGATCAGTGATATCTTCAAAATTCCTCTTCCTCTCATATGTGAGCCTCTCTTCTTGTTATATACTGCAACACTTGGATGCTGTATTTCAAAGCATGATGATAAATGAAGCCATCCAGACCGTTGAAAATGGGCCTACGCTTGTGAGAGAGCAATCACGTCATTTGGAGTCGATTGGTCTGAAGAGCCTCGGTGCGGAGGTGATTGACTCAGTAGGATTAGTCAGGTTGGAGACCATGCGTGGCATTTTGGAGGTTTTGGTTTTTTGGGTCTTGGTTTCCGGTTTCCGGGGTTTGTAGAGGATGACAAGGAGCATGGGGGCATTAGTCAAGGGCGTACCATGGTAGGTCAAAAAAGGGCTTGGAATTACGCCGCATTTGATTGAATGTGATCGACGGGCCAATGTGGGATACCGTGGACAAAGGCATTGAAGGGTGTGAAGGATATATTTCTTTTGCGAATATGATAGGTAGTCTGCCTGAGCAGCCACACGTCTTTCTTGTCTCTGGCCATTGATCACGAGAGCATATCCATAAGGTACACCACAACATCGAGAAGACCGAAGCTGGAATATACAATTTGGCTAGGTCACCGTACCTGCAGCCGGCGGAAAGTGTAAAGGCATTTCCTGCAGTTTGGGGGTTTGGGGGCCAGTTAGTAAGCGAGAGGCGATCTGGGGAAGCCGGTCGATGATGACATTTCACAGTGCCCGACGCGCCGTGTTTGAGACAACTTTGACACGGCCGCAATTGCGACGCGTCCCCCCTAACCACACACACTTGCCACAGTTACCACCACCAGTGGCCAAGCTCCATCTTCAGCTCGATCCCTCTCGGGGGATTCCTTCCCAGCATCCGGATGGCCCTAAGGCCTAAGCGCAATGGCGCATCTGCTTGTAGCGACCCTGGCCGCAGCAAGACCTCCTCTTTACCACCCATGGCCTCCTCTCCTACGGAGTACTCCTACCTACGGATAGACTCTTAGTATCTGGCCCCCAGTGCCATAGCTAGTGGTGCCCCCTTTGACTGGCATAGAACTGCTATGGTGTTGGTGGTGACAAAGGCTAATTTTAGCACGTCCCTCGCTCTCTCCTTTGCCCGTCCATCACTCTCTCGCTAGGGCCCTAAATTAACCCCGACTTTACCAGCTCGATTTGATTCAATGTTTAGATTGACCCAAGCTTTCCTCTCATCTCGAAAAGAACCGTTTGGATCTGCTGTCCGTCACCTAATTAGATGAGACCGTGAGTTACGGGACGGATTGCATCAGTTTTACCCCCCCCCCCATTATCTCCCGGGTCATTCAGCCTCTACTACCTGCCTGCCCTTGTCACAGGAACAGACAGAGAGACGCACCTAGTATCCTCTACCCACCCGTGTTTGAGCTGGCTCGGTGAGTGATGCTGCGTCCACGATACTCATACACTTCGTCGCGTCGTCGTTAGGCTTTAACGCAGTCCACTCGTATCGCGCATGCTGTCAATGCGCGGTTCAAGTCACGCCTCGCCGGTGATGATGTCCAATATCCCGGATTACTCAACACTGACTCATGCGCGATGATATCCCCGCAGCCGCCGACGATGCAGCATCAGCAGCAGCAGCACCAACACCAGCAGTCGCTCCCACCGGCGGTGCCCAACGGCATGCATGGGCAATCCCCGTCGCCCTCAATGAGACAGCAGCACATGGCCGCCCCACGGTCGTCGACTTCATCAATCTCGAGCAGCAGGTTCACCCTCCCGGACAGGAACGTGACGGCGGACACCATTGAGGATGCCTACACCCACTTCGTCATGTCCTGCAACCCGGCGGTCCCGCCCGACACGGACACGGCGGCGCTGCGGGCGGCATTCCGGGTCCCGCCCAAGAGCGGTGGAAAGAGCTTCAGCACATTTACCCTTTTCGAGCTCATTAAGCAGTTGGAGACTAAGGAGATTAAGACGTGGGCCGAGTTGGCGCTCAAGTTGGGCGTCGAACCCCCTGATCAGGATAAGGGTCAGAGTTCTCAAAAGATTCAGCAATATGCCGTCCGGCTCAAGGTATGTTTCTGTGCACAGTTCAATGGATTGCGCAACCAGCTGACTTTCATAGCGTTGGATGCATTCTATGCATGTGGGTGCTTTCTTTGAGTATCTGATGGATCACCCTCATCCCTACTGGACAGAGATTCCAAATGACCCAACTCCAGTGTGTGAAGCGGGCAGGGATGGTGTGCTGGCAGAGGACGACATGGCTCTTCGAGCTCTTTTACCACAGATTCGGCCTAGGCGGGGGAGAAAAAGGCCGGAAGACGACGACTTCGCCAAGTACCCTTCACAACGAGCGAGGTTGGACTCGCCGCCGACGGGGACGGCTTACACATCAGCCCGGGCAGAGACTTTGGGTCCATGGTCCGCTCATCCCGATGGGCGGGCTACATTCGGCTGCTCTGATCCTTTGAAATTGAGCGCCAACACGGGATCGGTGACAGGGTGGCCTCCGGCCCCTGATACGGCGCAGACACCGCTCACGGCATACCCACAGGGCCCGATGTCTGCACTCACGCCATCAACTCGCAATGGTGGGTTCTGGGGTGACGCAGAACCGAGGTCAGCTATAACTCCCTCACGACCGAAAGCATCTCACCGGCGGCACGGTGCCAAAGTTGTGTCTTCGGCGTGGAGGAGTGGCGGGCCGGGAGGCAGCGGCAAGACTCGAGGAAGACCGCCAATGAACAAAACGAACACTGATGGGCCATTTGTGGCTCTTCCCGCCGAATTCCCGGCGTACAAGCGGCCGAGTCCCGAGAGCAAGATCGAGCCGGGCCCGATTACACCCCCAGCGCCAATACCTCAGATCGCAACACCCCCAATTGCGGTCCCAGACGTACCTCAGCCGCCGCATATGCCGCGGCCGGCTAAGCCGAGTATCTCATTACAAGTTCCAGAACGCCAAGGAGGATCTGTTCGTCTCGCGACGCCGCCTCCGCCAATCGTAATGGTCAACGGGGACCCCCCGGCAGAAGCACCCGACATACCAAACATGACCGCCACGGGACCACCATTAAAATTCCCGCCCGGCCACAGCGCGGGCCTTCCCCCCGGTGCTATACCGCCAGTAGACCTGAAAGCGCAGACTGTCCTGCCGGTCGACCCGCCCCCCGCCGCCAAAGGCAGCGGCATACCACCGCTACCAAACGACATACCCATCGGCATGTTCGAGAACATGAAGGACCGAACCAACGTTGACGCCGTCCTGGGATACTTTGCGCACGAGACGGCCAACGGCGACTGGGTCGACGCGAACAACAACACCATCGAGAATTGCAGCATCGCCGAGGCCTACGCGCTAGTGCACACGACGGTGGAGAGGATGTGGCAGACGGCGCCAAACCAGGACGCCTTCCTTATTAATCTTGCCGCGCTGGCGGGCGGGCGAGCGCTCATGACGACGAGCAAGCTGCGGGTGAAGCGGGAGGAGGAGTACGAGGACCGCGCGACGTACAGCTGCAGCTGGGAGTTCCGACTGGGGACGATACGGGGCAACTATAACATGGTGCAGACGGTCATGTACAACCGGTGGCGGCGGCCCGAGGAGAAGCTGGAGAAGCCGAATATGAAGGGCACGGGCGGCGCCGAGTCGGAGTGGGAGAGGAAGTACCGGGACCTGCTGGCCTTGTCGGAGAAGAGGGATAAGGAGATTCAGGCTATGCGGGCCGGGCTTACGGCGATGCTGAACGAGACGTTTCAGGATGCCAAGGATCTTGATAACAAGTGAGGGGGGTACTTGGCTTGTAACCATAAGGATCGGAGAGGGATGAGGCTGGGGGAAGCGAACGGCGTACACAGATCGCCAAGACGGGGGCGTGGAATATCCAGGATCTAGGGGGTCCTCATCTGAAGGACAGGCTAGGGGATGGAACCATGCGAATGGCGTAATAATCGAAAGCATAGTGCCGGCGCAGGGTCATGGGAGAGCGTATATCAGGGATTGTACTGGGTGTTTTGGTGGAGGTCAGAAATACCAGGTCAAAAGCAATGCTACAGTCATCTTGAAGGATATTCGTCAAGCAGCTACTACAAACTCAAGTCTATTTACTACCTAAGGTTATTGAAGGTATTAGCTGCTGTTCAAAATCAAACCAAAGTGGTCTGGGAAGGAAGAGTGGAGGAATAACATGGGGGCTTACTAAGGACCTCCGGATCAGAGGTCCAGTCCTACTAGCCAATGAGATGCAAATCACTCAACTACAACAAACCTCACTCTGAGTATCGTCTCACTCTACCATCTTCTCCATCAATTCGTATTGATCAAATTCCTTCAAAATGCTTATCAAGGAGTCTCACGTCGACGTGCCAACCAAGGCTGACGGCAAGGATGGTTCAATGAGTTCGTGCCAATCGATCTGTAATTGTCGTACTCGAAAGCTAACGATGGTGACAGGAATCTTCCTCTTCCACCCTTCGATTCCAGGCTATCCCCAAGCGTAAGATCTCTTTTTTCTAGACTTGCAAGTCTGTTCAATATCTCAATTGACGTAACCTGCAGCAAATTCCCCGGCGTCTGCCTCTTTTCCGAGATCTACCAAGGTCAGTCAGATCATGCTCTTCACCATGGCGGGGTCCGGTCTGCCCAAAAAGCTGCCCTTTCCCCCGCACTGGGGCGGCTGCTCAACCCCTCCATGCAAACACCCCACCCTCACCGAGGGCTACACCGAGCTCACCGGTTCCTTGACCGAGGATCTCGACATGATTCATGTCGCTCTATGTCTTCAAGTGAAAACAGCGTGTCTAGCCATACTCCAGACCCCTATGCACATTAAACTCACATGATACGATAAAAACAAACTTGATCATTCTGTGAGCAGGCACTAACAAGACTAAAGTAACCGGCCCCGTCGCCCGCTTCGCTCGCCAGATCGCCGGACAGGGCTACATCGTCGCCGCGCCCTCGTCCTACCACGACTTCACCGGCCCAGAGGCCCTGGCCTACGATGTTCCCGGCACCGACAAGGGCAACGCCTGGAAGGTTGAAAAGGTCTGAACTCTCATCCTCGCTATCCCCTTACCCCTCCCTCCTGGTCTCGAAACCAGTAGACCTCACCAAGAAGTACAACGCTGACCCTCTTGAACACTGATATCAGACTCTCGAGTCCTACGACGAAGACTCCCGCCGCACCGTAGACCACCTCCTCACCCTCCCAACGTGCACCGGCAAGATCGGCAGCACGGGAATGTGTCTAGGCGGCCACCTCGCCGTTCGAGCCTCCGTACGTTTTCACAACCCCTTTCCCTTCTCATCCCTCGGCACCACCTTAACCTCTCTCCAACTCCCACCTCCTCACCAAACCTACTCACAATCGCAACACTCACCAACCATCTTCACAACCCTCCCAGACTAACCAAACCACCAGCTCGACCCCCGCATAACCTCCTGCGTAGCCTACTTTGCAACAGACATCCACACCCGCACCCTAGGCCCCTACACATCCGCAAACTCCTCCCCCACGGCCCCTGAAAACAGCACCCACACCCTAGACCTCTTCGCCACCAACCTCACCCACGCAGAGGTAGCCATGATCTTCGGCGTAAAGGACACCCACGTTCCCCCCGAAGGCCGCGACCTCATCCGCTCCAAACTCCGCGAGGCGGGGGTCACGACGAGCTTTTACGAGTTCGCGTGGGCCCAGCACGCGTTTATCCGCGATGAGTTGAGTAAAGGGCGGTATGATCCGGCTATTACGAAGGTGTGCTTTGAGGTTTTGTTGGAGTTGTTTGGGAGGACGTTGAAGTTGGATTTGGGTCCGTTGGAGGGCGTTGGCGAGGTTGAGCACGTGTGCTAAGTATCAGAACACACACTTCTCTCTCAAGCCCGGGACAAGCTTATCACGCGAATCACGTAGATAGAAGAAAAGACCAAGCATTGTTAAGAGGAATAATATTTATCTGCGGACGACATGTCATCATACTCTATTCGTAATCTATCTGTTCCCCCCATGTGAAGTTTGTTTAAGGAAATTCATTAGGCATGGGGAGCCAGTCTCAATGCCCACGTAAAAGAAAACGCCCAGGTTTTGTTTCAGACAATTGACCGGCTGGTATTAATCTCTCTCCAATTTTTTTGTGCTTCTTCTCCTTCTTTTACTTTGTTATTTTTCGTGTGTGCTCCATGGCTTTCCCTTTTACTGCTTCTTTGAAGTGCTCTGCTGAGCCTCCTGCTGGGTGCTGGATACACTGCGTCCGCGTGGACGCTGGCCCGACGGGGCGCTCTGGAGTGGGTGAGGGGTGAGGTTGGTGGCGTGGGAAGGCGAGATGGTGGGAGACAGAGGCTGTCCGTAACCGGAGTACCCCGTTGACTGGGCTCCGTAGTAAGGGGAGTTGTATGATCCCTGGACGCCCGTCTCAGCCTCCTCGTCGTAAATGCGGTTGCGAGGCGTCGTCTGGGTCAAGCCGAGACTAGGTCCGTCACCGACGGGGGACATGGGAATGCCTTCACCGGGCTTGCGACGGCCACCGCCGCCCTTGGTGCTGGCGCGCTTCATCAACTGACTGCGGACGCGGTCGATGTCGTTGGAGCGGCGGCGATCTTCCCTAGACGACAGGGTGTCCTCGTCACCTATCCGGTAGCCCCATTCCTCCTCGGCCATCGGGTCACGCAGGTTGAGCTCAGCTGCGGCAGCCTTCTCGGTGTTAGAGTCAGGGTTGCCATCAGTTCCCTCGGCGGCGGGGGAGGGCACCAAACGCGCGGCCTCCTTGTCCTTGGCAGCCTTGTCGCGAGCCGTCGAAGCAAAAGAGTCGGTGACGGCAACGGAGTAGGATGGGTTGCCAGGAGCACCCAGAGCCTCGCTACCACCGCCAGGGGCGTAAATGGGGATCTTCTTCAGAGCCATGGCCAGGGCGCATATGAACTTGGAGCGGCGAGTGGCGCGAACGCCGTCATTGTGCCAGTTGGACTTGTGCTTGATCGCGACCTTAAGCTGAAGCTTGTCCAAGTCACCGACGCCGGCAACGCCAATGGCGATATCGGGCATGAAGTCGCGGGAGTTGTCGGAGTTGCGCACAAAGTTCTCCATCTCAACGCGGAGCAGCTCGAGGTCCTCAAAGCTGGTGTCGTAGGAGACGTTCAAGTCGATGACTTCCTTCATGGCCTTGCTACGAGAAACGTTCTCGATCCAAAGGTTGTTGAGTGCAATGTTGGGAACCTGGACGACCTGCATCTTGTCGATACGAGTGAAGACGGTGTACAGAAGCGAAATCTTGTCCACGATGAGTTGCTGCTTCTCGGAACCGACAATGTCGACTCTGTCACCGACGTCGTAGGGGTGCTTGACGAAAAGGAAGATGCAGGAGCCAAGGAATTCCTGGGTGGTAACGGCGAAAACGAATGACAGGGAAAGAAGCGCAGTACCAGCAGTGGCAACGGTCTAGATTGGTCAGCGGCGTTGATAACAGAGTATAAAGGGTGGGGGGGGGGGGAAGCTTACGGTCAAGAAGCTGGACTGGAACCACGCGAGGAAGATGAAGACGACGATCAAGACGACAACGAACATGAGAACCTTATCAAACACGCGAAGTGCCTGACCAATGTCCTTCATTCCCTCGGTAATAGCCTTGCGTTCCTTGCCAATCTCGACAACCTTGCGAATCATCTCTTCCAAGCTGATATCGCCGTTCATGTCGTTATCGATCATACCGAAAGCCTCGTCGGCCTCTTCAGAATAGGCAGGTCCAAGCACTTCCAGGAAGTCTTCGGGGTACAGCGAGTCCTTTCCTTCGACCACGAAAGACATCCAGATACGGCGGGCGAGCGCCTCAGAAGGCTTATGCTTCTCAAGAGCTTCAATGACAATGGAGTGAGCTGAGTTGGGGTTGAAGACCTGCTTTCCGGTGATTTCCGAGGCAATGTTGCCGAAAACACCGGTGATCTTGTCTCCTACACGGCCGATGTCGCCGACAAGGCGGAGAGGCGTAGCGCTACCATTACCACCCTTGCCACCCTTCGCAGCCTTGGCTAAGATCAAATCGAGACTATCGTTGATGACATAGTCCTCGTCCTCGAACTCGGGACAGTACATAGGGAAAAGGGTGCGGGAAGCGTCGTAAAGGAGACCGAGCAAGCGAACCTCGCGCTTGGACTCCTTGATGCGGAGGGCGAAGGATCTCTGGTGGTATGAGATACCGATGAGCTGAACAATGGCCTTCTCGCCCAGGTAGACGGCTGAAGACACAAAGGTGGCACCAAGCAGACGAATCATGGTCGTGACCCAGGTAGATTGTTCGTTGGACTTGAAGAGGGCCTGGAATGACTGCCATGATGCAAGAGCCCAAAAGAAAAGTGAGAGGGCAATCTGCAAGTTCTGGAGGACAGTGGCGTACTTGCGCGTACCGGAACTGACAACTCCGCAGAAGAACATGAAGGCGTGAGGTATGAGCCAGGCGACAATCTTGCCAGCCCAGAGGGTCAGCCAGGCAATCTCAATCCACAAGAATAAAGAGAATAGTGTTTTCTCGCTGTTGTTGCCAATCATGACATCGTTTTTGTGGCCAGTGATGGGGAGAACGATGAGTGGTATCGCGAGAAGAATGCCGATGGGAATGATGTAAACCAGGTAGCGGGTGACGACGGACGCGCTGGTGATCTTGGTGTAGAAGCGACCCATGGCGTTCACCTTGACATCGTCCGAGCCAGCAGTTCCGTGACGGCCAAGCTCTGCCTTCTTCTTGCGGCGTCCGCCCTTGGCATTGGGGCGGTAAAAGAGGCCATGCTTCTCGCTTGTG